TTTTTTTTTTTTTTTTTTTTTTTTTTGTCTTTTTGTCGTGTCCGGCAACGGATCGCAACCCTCAGTGTTGCCCCCGTACCGGACCGGGGACCGGCAACGGGATCGCAAGCCTCGGTGTTGCTCCCGCGCCTTGCTCAGCCAGTGAGCGGGAGCCGGTCCGTATGTGGGATCCGAACCCTCGGACGGGAGCGCCGCCGCGCTTCCCAAGCGGCGCACTATCCAGTGCGCCACCAGGCCGGCCCCAGCACTTCATGTTTTCTATCTGAGTTTTACAATCACCTTATAAAGTAGCTCAGTAGAATATCCTTCTGTTCCCACTCTCTTTTTCATTTAAAAAGAATAAACTACAAAAGGAATAAACACTAATTATAAAGCCTCAATACAAAAGAATGGGTAAGAAGTCTAAGTTTCACTCCCTGCTCAGTATCCAACTCTACTCTCACCCATTTTTTTAAGAAATATATGGGAAATGGAATTTAAGGAGGTTAACTGACAAATCTTAGTAGCTAACAAAAGTCTGTTAATTAAGAATCAAGCACTATCAAAAATTGAGTATCCATAACGACAGAGGTGATGGGTAAATTTAATTCTAACATTTTTTTGAATTTACTGTGTTACAGTAGAACAAAATAACTATTCTGTAACCAACGCTTTGCCACTCAATTAATTGGTGCCACTTACCCTATTATATGACTACTTTTTTGGCAGTTATATTTTGAACCTAGAAACTATAATTCTATTAAAAAAATGAAAGTCACACCTCTTAATATATTACATAATTGAGTTTTTACTCCTTTCCCCCCAAATTAAATTCTACTCATTTACTTTTTCTAGTACTTGTCTCCATGGCAGCCAGATACCCAAGCAGAAAGTCTAGAATCCATAAAAATGAACCATGAATTTCTAAACTGTACCCACATCATGGTCAATATATTTGCAATTACATGTTTTAGAATGTATTATTGAGTTAATGATTATGCCAAGATTAATGTATATATTCACTGTATCATAGCATATTGAAAAAGGACTTTTTAAAAAAAAATTTATCACTACACAATGTAAACATTTTTTATGGCCCTTTACCAATTTCTCTCTAACCCTCCTTCTCCCTCCCCCACCTCTGGTGTCCTCAGTTCCCTTCTCTCCTTTGGAGAGTTCAAAGAATTATTGTAATTGCTGTATCTTTCTTTCTTCTTTTCTTTTTTTTCAGCTCCCACTTATGAGTGAGGACATGCAGTATTTCTCTTTCTGTGTCTGGCTTATTTCACTTAACATAATTTTCTCTAAGTTCGTCCATGTTGCTGTGAATGGCAGAATTTCATTGCTTTTTATGGCATAGTAGTATTCCATTGAGTATATTTTTTTCCTTATCCAGTCGTCCATTGATGGAGATTTAGGATGGTTCCAACTCTTAGCTATTGTATATAGAACTGTGATAAACTGGGAGTACAGGTACTTCTTCAACATGATGATTTCCATTCCTTTGGGTAAATACCCAGCTGTTGGATTGCTGGATCATATGGCAGTTCTATCTGTAGTTGTCTGAGGAACCTCCATACTGTTTTCTATAACAGCTGCACTAGTTTACAGTCCCACCAACAGTACAGAAGGGTTCCCTCTTCTCCACATCCTCACCAGCATGAAAAAAGACCTTTAATCAAGAGAACTTCCAATTCTTATTTTCCAATTTTAGTTTAATTCTGGAACTAGGTAGCTTTCAGAGACATTAACAGAACAGGATATGAGTAAATATCTGTGCAAATTAGCACAGGTCTGAATACTGAAAGAAATTAGCTTGGTTTTTTAGAAAGCAGCTAAGTGCCAAGTAAAACTAATCCAAACCAAAACATTCAGCAAACTTTTTATTTCTGGCAACTTGAGCTCCTGGCTAGAAAAGCTATCCTAGCTATGACATTAAATGGTGAAAATTTATTAAGCTATAAAAATATTGGTAGATTTGGCAGTCCTTTCTATCATGCTAAAACTATTGTTACTGGTTCATAGCACAAGTGCCAGAGCCTCAAATTAGATCAATGATTCTAAAGTGGAAGCCAGTGGTGAAACAAATCAAAGGGAATTTTTCCCCCCAAAATACAACTACTCCCTTAATATTTCCTGTATCACTAAGATTCTGAAGGGAAATGAAGATGATATGATAAATATGTGTGTGCCTTTTAAAAAAAATTCCTAGATTATTTTGAGATTATCTATCTCTCTCCCCCTTAATGGAGAATTCTTGAATTAGGCCCAATCTTTTTTTCCTTCTTCTTTTAAACACTGTATCAATAGCAGGCATAAGGAGCAGAGCTACAAAGTGACAATAGCTCAGCAGAAGGCTATGCAGGTAAGGAGCTGTACTTACAGCAGAGCTACCTCAGAGCTTTCTGTGCCAGTTCCCTCCAGAATCTACATTATATTTTAGACAATGTCAACCGTTCAGTTTATCATCCTGAGAAAAGCACATAGTCTACTAGCCAGATAAAAATGTAAAAAGAAGTAATTCTGGACTTCAAAAAAAACTAAGAAGCCACAATGAAAGACAAAAATTCCTCTGTTCTGTCATTAAAAGAATAACATATTTTATCATTTTAGTTTTTTGTTATGTAGCATTGGTTTTTCTATGATAAAGCTCAGTCAAGCTGAAAAACTTAATCATTCTAGAACTTAATAAACTACTATAAGATGCCAAAACTGTGTATTAAAAACAATCAGACAAAGTTAAATCTGCATTGTATATCAAGATAGCTTAAGGGTTGGATTAAAAAACAAACTTCCACGGTCAATTTTAGAGCAAACGATTATACTTCTTTACAGCCATTGTTTCAAATTCATTATAAATAGCTCCAATATTGAAATATTCCAGAAGAGGGGACTTCTGTGATGTACAAATAATCATCCAATTACTATTACATGCTGCTTTGGACTAGTGTTTCTTAAACTACTTAGTAATTTTCTACTCAATGTTCAACTTATTGCATTCTGCAATGACACCTACTGGCCATTTAAAATCAGCCATTAGTTCCCTAAGACAGCTCAGAGTAGGCTGGTTACATAATAAGAAGAAACACACACACACACGTACATACACCACCCTACATAAAGGCAGAAATTTGTTCACAGGTACACAAAACACTACAGAATTGCACCTAAAATAGAACCAGAAGTTTTCTTGTGACTGAGATGGAATTATTCTTGTAAGAAGACAAAAGACAAAGAATTAAACCAGTATTAATTAAAATTTTTATCTAAAGCATTGATAAATATCTCAGTACTCTGAACATTTCAGAACAAGCAAACTCTCACGACCCACCTCTCTTTCCCAAATAATTTTTTGGGAAAAAATGAAATAGTATTTTGGGAAAAAAATGAAATTTTGATATATGTTCATATATACTAATATAAATTATCATCAATAGGAAAAAATCACATCTTAGAAAGTTTTTCTCACATGCAGTACTAAAATATACTCAAGAAAATGATATGCTTGCTAATATTAACGTAGTCCTTTTCTTCTAAGGCAACATTTCAAACAGCTTACATTTTAGCAATTTATAAAGCTTCTTTTAAAATAGTTTTCCAGTGCTTCTTTTAAAACTGTTTTTCAGTGAATGAAGTTTTTATGTAGTTTGTCCTTCCATAACACATACTGACTGGAATCCCTACTTTTAAGTCTACTTTTCATTGTGCAAACAATCAATTATTAAAACTTTTTAAAAACAAGATAATTTACAGTTAATTATATCTATAAATACATTTTACCTCAGTCCAAGAAGCTCAAGAAACATACGTTATAAACCTAATAAACAAATAATACATAACTCGCTTCCCAGACTTACAGAGCAAACTACTTAAAAGTCCTCCCGCCCACCATACAAACCATCACCTTATTTTCACAGTCCAAACATCCACAGTGTCTGGGAGAAGGAATCTACCAACTAATATCCTAATCATTTTCTAACTTGCACTTACCTCCTGTTATTGATTTTTGAGGCTCTCCAGTTGTTTGCTGAAGATTAAAAAAAAAAAAAAATGTATTTGTTATCAGCCCTGACACTCAAAACAAATCCATGAACTACAAAACATGAGCCTGGCCACATTCATCTCAAACTAACATCGTATCTCTCAACCCAAGCCCATATTTGGGATAAGCTCTTCGTGACTACACTATCCTTCATGCTATCACCCTTCGCCCACAGAGCTTGACTGGGTAGAGAGCACTCAAGGCAACAACAAAAAAGTGTTCTGACATATCAATAGGGTTCAAGACCTCCTCTTCCAGGAGGGACAGCCTAGTTATTTGGGTAAATAACAGCCAAGGATTACATAATGCACAGCTCTAAAGAGTTTCCGGGATCTGACCCCCAGTAAATACGTTTCTTCTCCGCACCCCCTCACCATCGCAGGAAATGGCCCTAAAAAGCAATCCCCAGGATTCTCTCAGGTGTCTGCAACACGCGTCCTTCTCTCGCCTTGCTTCGTGCAAGGAATTCCTTCAGCCCTCACTACATCGTCCTGCTCCCGCCTCTCTCCTCTCTGCCGGCGCTACCGCAGCCCCCACGCCCTCAGGGCTCAGCTTCCACCCGCCTCAGCTGCCTTCTCCTTCTCCTTACGACCCTCTCAAGCTGCTACCTGGTTTACGAAAGGCTCCGGAACCACCAACATTCCGGCTATCGCCTTTCCAACCCACCCTCGTCCACTGCCCTCTATAGTTTCCGCAGCCGAAGAAGAAAAACCCTCCTCCATCTAGCACTTTGCGTCCCCCAAAGACAGCACTGCCGCCTACCTGTCACCCGGCTGTCTTCAGCTTCCTACCGCCACTGCCTCCCGCAGCAGCCTGCCAACTGCAGCCCTACAACCAGCCTTCTCATTGGATGAGTCCACGCTATCAACGACAGCCCCGTTCATTGGCTGCAGCCTGCACGCGGCCCTCCCCTCTGTGCATGTCCAAGAATTCCGGTCTCCAAGCAAGAAAAACATTTCCTCTTCCCCGCCCTTTTCTCCTCTACAATGCTTCTTACCTCAGTCAGACTGCGGGTTCACATATGTGAAAAAAATATCGACTTCTAGCCTCCCTCATAGCATCCCGATCCAGGAATCTGTGACCCGGGACCGGAACGTTAAATGGCTTCTCCGCTTTCCTACCGAATGGAACTCGAGGTAACAACTTCCGTTTCCGGTTGGCTCCGGCTGGAAGGTTGAGTGTTGAGTGTCCTGAGAGGTCAGATTGCCGTCAGGTAAATTAGGGAGTTGGTGGGAGACCTCTTGATTAAGAATAAAAGTTAGATTCTGTTCTGGAAGATGCAGAAAGGGAGAGACTAAATGGAGAGGGATGATGAGAGGGAGCAGCTCAAGAGGGACGGAGATCCAAGACCTAGCGGGAGAGAACTTTTGAAGTCCCAGTTTAGAGTTAGGGTAGGGATGGGTGGTTTAAAGAGGGTACGGTGAGAATCACTGTGGTTAAGTCCAGGAGCTTTCCCTGCTTCCGCCTCACGCAACACCCACCCCACGCCCCGTGCTTGTTTGTCTGATCTATCTTTGGATCAGATAAAGGCTGAAGAACAGCCCCCCAAACCGAAAATATGTGAAATAGAAATAATTGTAATATCTGCCTCACAAGCTTGTATGGCTTTAAAAATTTTTTGGTATAAGTGTTTATAACACAGTGGTGAAGTGAAAAAAGCTAGATACAAAATAGCATCCGTTTTTACAGTGCAAATTTTTAAAGTTGCATATACGTAGGAGCAGTGATTGGAAGAGACACTAAAAGTGGTAGTAAATTTGTTTTTTATTTTCTAATATCCTTATAGTATTCGCAATTTTTTAAATGAAGGCAAGTTAGGATATACATTTGGAGGTGTTCGGTAAACTTTAAAGTTACATGTAGTGGAAGTGGTATTATCCTCTTATTTCCTTTTTAGGGAAAGTATCCCTCCTGTAATAGAGCTAGCTCCCTTTAGTGGAAGTTGATCGCCACCAAACTTAATAGGTTCACTTCAGACATAGGTAGATTTAAAATTTTTCACAATTGCATGTTCTTCCTTTGTTGACCTAATATCCTTGCTGTTCTTACTTGAGCGAAATAATCACCATGTTGAGTCTTCGGGACAATTTAAGTAACTTTTTCTAACTTTTTTTTTATTGTCAAATTTACATAGCAGAAGGGTGTATAAAACATACACCCGTGTAACCACCCCCAGTTAGGAAATAACGCATTACTGATAACTTGGAACATCCCTTCTCAACAGGAGTGATTGCCCTTCAAGGGGGTGAAAATTAGATCTTGGGGTGGGGAAACGTCTTAGTTACTACAATGGTTTGTGTCCCTCCAAAGGCCAAAGATATAAAATATATCTGTGGTTTTAAAATTTCATTGGGGGAGACGAGGGAGCATGATTAGGAAAAAAAATGTCTAAAATGGCTTCTTAGAAGGACAATAGTTAAAAGTTGGTTGAAAAACACTGTCCAATAGAAATATAATGCAAGCCACATACGTAATTTAAAAATTTCTAGTAGCCATGTTAAAAAAGTAAAAAGAAACAGATAAAATTAATTTAATAATATATTTTCTCTAACTCAGTATATTCAAAATATTATTTCAAGATGTAATCAATATTTAAATTTATCAATGAAATATTTTACATTTTCATAATTGACATATTTATTTTACACTTAACGTTTATCTAAATTTGTATTCTAAATTTTCATAAACACTTGATCTGTGTTTATATTTTGTGAAATTTACAGTTCAAAAAGAGATTTATATACCCAAATTGTTCCAAACACAGTATAATATTTTCCAATAACTGATTTGAGAGTCTGTTTTGAAATTTTAATTAATTAAAATTAAATTAAAATTTCCAGTTTCCAGGTAGCACCAGCCACATTTCAAGTGCTAATGGCTACCATATTGGACAGTGCAGATCTAGAGCATATAGTCGTATACATAGGAGAGGAATTGCTGGCCAAAAGGTATTTGGATTTTCAACTTTTCTAGGTCATGCCAGTTTTTCAGGATGGTTGTGCTAAATCGCATTATCACCACCTGGGTGTGAAAGTGGAAGGCACATTACAATGTGTTTTCCTCAGTTCTCACAATCTTGCAAGGTAGGTTTTATTCTCATGCTGTGTGAGGAAACTGAAGTTCAGAGAGATTAAGTGATTTGCCTGGGATTTTACAGTTTTTATTGGTGCAAAGTAGGAGAATTACTCTCTTCCTTCAAGTGATCAGGATATCATTGTTTTATTTATGGCTGTTCTGAAATAGAAATAATTTTGAAAAGAAAATGAAACATTCCCTAGAAATAGCATCGATCAACTTTTTGAAAAGTCTTTTTTTTTAAATCATTATACAATGTATTTGATTTTTGTGGCCCTTTACCAATTCCTCCCTTTCCCTCTCCCACTGACGTCATTTAAATAATATATTTAGTATATACCTATAAAAGGACCCTTTCTGAAATATTTTAATTAGATAAAACAGGAAACACATTGAACTTATCAAAAGAAATCTGTGTAGGAGAAATAAGGGTATGTACGCTTTCATGTTTTCTTTCAAAAAAAGATTTATCTTCTAAATTACTTAGTATTTTGAGCATAGTGGTACTGTAACTTTAAAATAGCCTTCACTGTCTGGCTGGTTAGCTCAGCTGATAACACCAAGGTCCAGAATTTGATCCCTGTGTCCAGCCCCCCCACGAAAAATAGCCTTCATACCATGGTACTATTTCAATTTTTATTTTCAAAAATTATTTTTATCATTCTTTTTTGACCCTTTGTTTTAAACTCTGTTCCAAATACATTGATACAAAATTAGGGTTGATATTCTAGAATTAACATTTGCCAAAATAAGGGTTCATCTTGTAATCTCTTTACATATTTTTGGAACAAAACAATATTTTAAAAAGATTTTTTTGAAAACATGTTATGAGGGAGCCAAGACATTCTAAATAAACACTTCTAAGGGTCTTTCTTTTGTAATAATGTATTGAATTTCAAAAGTCTGTCTGAAATCTGAAGCCATAATTTTTTTCCTTTATATTATTGAATCCACCAAATAATAATAAAATAATGGATTGAATGTTTCATTCAAAATTGTGAGTGGTGTATTTCTAACTTGTGTTTGGTGGTATAGGTTTTCATCAACATAATGTTTTGTGATATCTTAACATGTTTATAGATATTAAGTGTTGGAAATTTGTCAGAATTACTATGTATAATTTATTCTCGTATGTTGGAACTATTGTTTAATGAAATGAGCATTTCACATAATGTTACTTTAGTATGCACTAGCTAGTAATTACCTCTGTCTTCTTTAAAATGCAGTATAAAAAATTTTTCTGTATTATTGAGCTTGTTCATAGTTATGAATGCAGACTTAATGGTAATAATTATTTGGTTTGGTTGTATTCCTGGACAGCAGTGATTATAGAATTGCTGCTGCTAACCTTATACAAATTATAGTATAGCATTATTAATTCATACTTCTTAATTTGAAATTCATAGTAATTTAAATGGAGATGGAGCTGACTGAAGTTTGTGTTTATGTTGTCTATAAAAATAACACTAGTAAAACTGAAGTCTTTATATAACCATTGAAGATATATTTTATTTAAGGAAGCAAACTTATTGATTAAAAAGGGCTTTTAAGGTCTCTGTTGGTCTAGTTCAGGGATCAGCAAACTTCAGTCTGTGGGCCAAATCCAGAATGGTTTTTACAGATGATCATTTGTAATCACTTTGATACTAAGGAACACTAACTTTGAGCCCTAGTTAATATAATGTTATCCCCAAAAAGGAATTCCATTTTTTTCATAAGTATACCTGTATTACCAAAAAATTGTACTGTTATTATTTGTTATATTTTGAATTTTATCAATAAAATATTGTGGAAATTTGTTTTCTCTCATTATATGTGTACATACATAATATACTCAATTTTACCTCTTTTGCCCACAAAGCCTAAATAATTTATTATTTGACTCCTTACAGAAAAAGTTCATATGATCATTTGTATTTAAAAGCAATAACAGTGCATTTAAAAAGAATTGTCTAAAGAAAGCAGGTAATGTACAGTACATACAACATTTTTGTTATGCATATTTATGCATTATAAAAGGACTGAAAGGAGGGAAACAGTATTGCTTAGAAGTTAGGAGCAGGGGTTCTGAAACCAAACTGTAAGGTTTAAATCCCAGTTATACCATTTACTATTTTTGCTACCTTCAGAAAGTTACTTAACATTTTGTAGTCTCATTATCTTCATCTGTAAAATAGGAGTCACATAGAACTCAATAAATGTTTACTATTATTATAATGAAGAAAGGAACCAAACAGTAAATGGTTATCTCTGAATGGTGGAATGCCTGGTTATTATTCGTTTTTATATTTTGTTTATGCGTACTTCCTAACTGTGAACATATACTAGTTATATAATGAGAAACTGTCTTATAAAATCTAACTAATGAATTTTCAGTCTTTCATCTTTTTAAAAAAAAATTAACTTTAAATGTTTCCCCTTAAAACATAAACAGTAAATTTGACTTTTTGATATCTACAATCTGTATATTTCTCCCTTACGTTAATCTTTTTCTATAGATATGGCCCATGGACATGGAAATGAACATGGTCATAGTAAAATGGAACTTCCAGATTATAAACAGTGGAAGATAGAAGGGACACCATTAGAAACTGTCCAGAAGAGGCTGGCTGCACGAGGGTTAAGGGATCCGTGGGGCCGGTAAGATAAATTAAGTAGTTTAGATAGAATTTTTCCTAGAAAATCAGTATCTATGTTCCTTTTCAATGTATTCTCCTTAAAGAATTATGAAAAATTGCTTTTCATGTTAAAATTTTAAAATCAGCTTTATTGAAATACCATTTATATACTGTAAAATTTACTCATTTTAAATGTATAATTCCATTAGTTGTGACAAATATGCAATGACATAACCACCATCACAATCATAATGCAGAATATTTCTATTACCCCCAAAGTTCCCTCATGCCTTTATGACCTTTTGCAGTCAAAGCTATCCTACCCCCACCTGCTGGCAACCAATGATCTGCTTTTGTCTCTATAGTTTTGCCTTTTCTAGAATTTTATATAATTGGAATCATACAGTATGCAGTCTTCTGTTCTCTTTCACTTAACATAATGCTTTTGACACTTATGCATGTTGTTGCTTGCATCCGTATTTCTTCCTTTTTATTGCCTTTTTGTTTTATAACCATTGTATGGATATACCTCATTTTGTTTATCATTTACCATTTGATGGCTATTCAGGTGGTTTCCATCTTTTGGCTATTATGAATAAAGTTGCTATAACTATTCAAGTCTGTGTGAACTTTTGTTTTTATTTCTCTTGATAAATACTTAGGAGTAGGATTTCTGGATCATATGATAAGTGTATGGTTATTTTTTATGAAAATCTGCCAAAATGTTTTCTAGAGTGGCACCATCCATTCCCACTAACAATATATGAGAATTTCGGTTGCTCAGTGTCCTTGCAACACTAGATATTAGCAGTCTTTTAATTTTAACTATTCTAGTGAATGTGGTAGTAATACCTTCTTGTGGCTTTAATTTGCATTTCCATAAAGACTGATGATCATGAGAATCTTTTTGTGTGCTTATTTGCCACTCATATATTTTCTTTGGTGAAATGTCTATTCAAATATTTTGCTCATTTTATTTAGCGGGGTATTTGTCTTCTTGCTATTAAGCTATAAGAGTTCTTTATATATTTTGAATATAAGTCTTTTATCAGATACAAGTTTTGCAAATGTTTTTTCCCACATATGTGGCATGGCTTTTCATTTTCTTAACAATGTCTTTCAAAGAGTTTTAAATTTTGATGAATTTCCAATTTAGCCATTTTTTTTCTTTTATGGCTTGTGCTTTTTGCATCCTATTCATGATTGTCTCCTATACCTTATTCTAGAAATTTTTATAGTTTTCTTTCTTATGTTTAGACATATGATCCGTTTTGAATTAATTTTTGTGTGATACAAGTTAAGAGTGGAGGTTAATGTTTTTGCTTATGGACATCCAGTTGTTCCAGCACCATTTATTAAAAGATTACCTTTCCCCAATTAAATTACTTTGTCATCTTTGTCAAAGATTAATTGACCATTGCCAATTAGCTCAGTTAGAGCGTGGTGCTGATAACACCATGGTCCAGGGTTCAGTCCCTGTACTGCCAAGCACATACACACACAAATTTAATTGACCACATCTATCTGGTCTGTTTCTGAACTCTATTCTGTTACTCTGATCAATGTATCTAGACTTATGCCAATACTACACTGTCTACAAAAAGGTAATATAAGATCTCCAATTTTTTAAAAAGTGTTTTAGCTATTCTAGGTCCTTTCCATTTACATACAAATTTCAGAGTGAGCTTGTCAATTTCTACAAAGAGTCTGCTTGGATTTTCATTGGAATCACATTGAATCTGTTCCACATTTACATTGAATCAAATTCACATCAGTTTGGAGTGATACCTTAACAATAATTAGTCTTTCAGTCCATAGGCAGTTTAGGTGGTCTTTAATTTTATCAGCAATATTTTGTTGCTTTATATACAGGTCTTGCACATATTTTGTTAAATTTATCCTGAGTTATTCCATATTTTTGATGCTATTGAAAACGTTATTTTTAAATCTCAACATATAATTGTTTGTTGCTAGTATATAAAAATACAACTGATTTATTACCTTGCTAAATTCACTTTTTGGTTCTAATAGATTTTTTTTTACAAATTCCTTAGGATTTTCTTTATAGACAATCATTTTGTCTACAAAGAAAGTTTTTTTTCAATCTGTAAACTTCTTTTTTCCTTGTGTTATTATTCTGGCTAACAGCACTAGTACAAATTCCTTAGGATTTTCTTTATAGACAATCATTTTGTCTACAAAGAAAGTTTTTTTTTCAATCTGTAAACTTCTTTTTTCCTTGTGTTATTATTCTGGCTAACAGCACTAGTATATGTTGAATAAAAGTGGTAAAGCAGATATCCTTGCCTTGTTCCTAACTGGGGAAAGCATTCAGTCTGTCACTACTAAGTATGATGTTAGTTTTAGGGTTCTCATAGATCCTCTTTACCAAAATGAGGAATTTTCTTTCTCTTCCTAGGTTACTGAGTTTTGTCATTTTTTACTATTATTATTAATGGGTATTGAATTTTGTCAAATGCTTTTTCTGTATCTTTTTAGATGCTCACATAGTTTTTTTTTTTTTTAATCTGTTAGTATGGTGAATATTTTTATTGATTTTCATATGTTAAACCAATTATTCCTGTAGTGAGCCCTACTTCCTCATGATGTATTTTTTTGTGTTGCTTATAACAGAATACCTGAAACTGGGCAGTTTATAAAGAAAAGAGGTTTATTTGGCTTAGGATTCTGGGACAGCTGCATCTGGTGCAGGCCTCAGGCTGCTTCTATTCACTGTGGAAAGCTGCAGGCAGCCGGCAGGTACAAGCAGATCACATGGTGAGAGGAAGCAAGAGAGAGGGGGCGGGGAGATGCCAGGGTCTTTTTAAACAACCACCTCTCGCAGGAACTAATAAAGTGGGAACTCACTACCCCCATCTCCCAGGAAGAGCATTAATCTATCAAACACTGCCACATTGGGGATCAGATTTCCACATGAGTTTTAGGGGGACAACATATTAAAACTCTCAATTCAGTTTTCTAAAATTTTGTTAAGAATATTTGCATCTATCATCATGAAGGATGTTATTCGGTAGTTTTCTTCTAACATCTTTGTCTGGTCTTGGTATACAAATTAGATTTGATTAGCCCTTATATTTTCCAATAAGTGAGATCTTTAGAGTTCAATGATTTTTGTTCTTCATAACATGAATTTTTTTTTTTTTCACTGACCTGTCATTATCTGTGGGAGAATACATTTTTTTCCCTAGTTCTCTCTGATTTCTGTTTACTTCTCAGTTCAGGATACTCAGAAGAATGATTGCCAGAGCAGGAAATCGGTCTTACAAAGTTCAGGCTGCTATGACAGGGAAAAGTTGTGATCCTCCTGAATCATAATAATAATGTCAAATGTTATACCCTCTTGTGCCAAAAATGTATCATACATTAGCGTGTTTAATCTTTATTACAACACTGTAAGGTAGATAGTAATCATCATTGAATAGAAGCAGCAGCACACCCTAACAGGTTAAGCATCTTGCCCAGCCTAAAAGATTATGAATCTAGTATAAGCAGCAGAGCAAAGATTAATACCTTGTTCTTTAACTTCATCTTTCCACGATGTTGTAATGACTACTGTGGGCAGAGCCACCCAGCCAACCTGTGACAGATAAGTCAAAGTGAGCCTTGCATTTGAGAATTCTGTAAAATCTTAAGTAGTCTGATCATGAAATATAAAATCAAGTGTTTTTTCTTCTATTTTATATGTGAAATGTAGGCATATATTCTTAATTATACTTAATTATGCTATGCCACAGAAAGATTCCTATTGTGATCCACTTTAGATTATCTTATATAGGGTTCCATTTAAGTCTGTTAGAAAGATGAAAAATAAATTTATTTTACTCAGTGAATATATACAAGTTGTATGTGATTATATTTTTTTTCCTTTTTTTCCTCTAGCAATGAAGCATGGCGATACATGGGTGACTTTGCACACAATGTTTCCTTTGCTGGTCTGTTATTAAAAGGATTCAAATGGGGATTTGCTGCATTTGTGGTAGCTGTAGGGGCTGAATATTACTTGGAGTCCCAGAATAAAGATAAGAAGCATCACTGAAGATAGCACCTGGACATATCTTAGAAAAATAAGATTTCTTCACCATAGCCTCCTTGTGTTTGTCCCCTAAAGAGTACCAGTAAGATTTAATAAATTAAGAAAAACATATGCCAGTTAGTTTTTGTCATTCTTTGAAAAAAAAAAAAAGTGTTTCAAGCCCTATCAGATTTGGTTTGGAATACATGGGGGTTTGGGTACCAGTGGCAGTGCATTCTCTATATAGCAGGCAGCCCACATATATTTGACTGACTAAATGGATATATTCTAATAGGTTTTTAAATGGGAGTTGGCCTTGCTGTTTTTACTGTCATCTGTACATGATTTACTTATTTATTTATTTTAAAGGATGACCGGTAAGGGGATCTTAACCCTTTACTTGGTGTCAGCACCACACTCTCCAAGTGAGCTAACCAGCCATCCCTATATAGGGATCCGAACCTGTGTCCTTAGTGTTATCAGCACCACACTCTCCCATGTGAGCCATGGGCCAGCCCTTGTACATGATTTAGAGGGACCTAGATTATACTATAAAATACTTGCTACCCAGTTATGGTTGACTTATTCATGTATCATGTATCATGTTCATTTTCATTATTGTAATATTTTCTACTCTTAGTCCTTATTGTTCTCATATTGTGAAAGGCTTGAAATTTTTTTCTGTATTTCTAACAAAAAACTAGACATCTCCCCACATCAGTGAGCTTAAAATTTTTAATTAATTAAATCTAAGATTTAAAATTCAGCTTGTTGAGGAGGGGTAATATTTTTGCTTGAATAATGAAGCTAATTAAAATTCCAGGGTGATTTTTTTTTTCATAAATTTCTTGTCTATAAATATAAACTTGAGCAATTGCTAAGTAAGTTAAAGGGCAGTGGAATATAGAATGTGGTAAAATGGAGTCATAAAAAATATTCAAGGGCCGGCCCGGTGGTGCACTGCTACAGTGCGCCGCTTGGGAGCATGGCAGCGCTCCCGCCGAGGGTTCGGATCCCACATATAGACCGGTTCCCGCTCACTGGCTGAGTGAGGTGCGGGCGCAACACCAAGGGTTGCGATCCTGTTGCCGGTCCCGGTCCGGTATGGGCGTGACACTGAGGGTTGCGGTCCGTTGCCGGACACAAAAAAAGACAAAAAAAAAAAGGAAAAAATATTCAATGCAAAGAAGACAAGGAAAGAGTTTAAAAAGGAAAAAAGAGCAATGGGACACATAGAAACAGCAAGATGATAGATTTAAATGTAATCGTATTGATAATTATGCTAAATGTAAATGGTCTAAAGTTTAAATTCTAAAACATTCCAATTAAAAGACAGGTTATAAAGGGTAAAAGAATGGAAAAATATGCATGCAAACACTAATGAAAAGAATGTTGAAGTGACTAGTAATGTCAGACAAAGTATTTAGAATAAAGAATATTGTGATAAAGAAAGACATTACATTGAGATCATGTATATTGCTGTGTCTGTTCTTTTTATATTTCTAAGTTGAATTCCATTGTATGAATGTTACAATTTTTATTTCTAATTTTTCTGCTGATGGTTACCTGGGATGTTTCTAGGTTTTTGTTATTGTGAATAAAGTTGCTGTGAACATTTGCTTTCAAAAAAAAAAAAAAAGACATTTCATAATAATAGAGGAGTCAATTAGTTCAGTAAGAGGACGTAAAAATCTTAAATGTATATGCACCGAGCTTCAGAATATAATGCTTTCATTTTTGAAGCAAAACCAAACAGAACTAAAAGAAGAAATAGACAAAACACAATTATAGTTCTCCTTTCTCAGTAATTGATAGAACAAGTAGACAAAATTAGTAAAGCTACAGAAGATTTGAACAACACTGTCAAGCAACTTGGTGTAATATTTATAGAACACTCTACCCAACAAAGGCAGACTACACATTCTTTTTAAGTGCATATGGAACATTTATCACAACAGGCTGGATGAGTATGGGCCATAAAGCAAGGATCAATAAATTTAAGAAGATTGAAATCACACAAAATATACTCTCAGACCACAAGGATCGATTAACAATTAACATCTGGAAAATCCACAAATATTTGGAAATTGGATAGCACATTTCTAAATACCCCATGCTCAAAAAAGAAGTCTTGGAGAAGTAGAAAATATTTTTAACTGAAGAAAAATGAAAGCGAATATCAAAATTTGTGGGATGCAGCTGATTGACCTGTAGGTAGACTGATGAGGAAAAAGGGAAGGCAAATTAGCCATATTAGTAATGGAAGAGGAGACCTCATTACAGATCCTAGGTGTATTAAAACAATAATAAGGCATTTTTCAGACAGTTTTATGCCAATAAACTTGACAGGTTTTTTTGTTGTTGCAAATCTAACACAGTTTTGATGAAATTGATAATGTCCTTAAAAAGACAGACTACCAAAACTCACTCAAGAAGCAGATAATCTGAATAGCTGTATATATATTAAAGAAATTGAATTTCTGGTTAATCATAAACTCATTTGCTGGGTTAGGTAGAGAAAAACAAGATGGAAAGTACAGCGCCTGGTATATTTGAGTACAGAATAACGGTAGTTTTGCTCTACTACCTTAAGTTGATTTTTTTTTTTTTTTTCCCTTTTTTCGTGTCCGGCAACGGACCGCAACCCTCAGTGTCGCGCCCGTACCGGACCGGGACCGGCAACGGGATCGCAACCCTCAGTGCTGCGCCCTCCCCTTGCTCAGCCAGTGAGCGGGAACCGGTCTGTATGTGGGATCCGAACCCTTGGCAGGAGCGCTGCTGCGCTCCCAAGCGGCGCACTGTAGCAGTGCGCCACCGGGCTGGCCCTTAAGTTGATTTTTTTTATCCTTCATAATTTTTGCTAGAAGCAAGAAGTGAAGTTTTCCTTCTATTTTGTTAATTGAAAATTACCACCTGAATTCATTAATAGCTGCAAAGCATACAAACTCTTGTCATCTTAGTTGTTGCCATTACTTGGACTAGAACCAATTCAATATGATATTCATTCTTAAAACATCTGAGCAAAGTACAATTGGAGATAATGCTAATGATATGTGTGTCTTGCCTCATAAAAAAGCACTGTGGATGATAGTATGTAAATACTGTATTATTACCCCATCTTGTATGTAAGGCAAGTCCATAAAATTAAAATAACAAAACCTAAGATGACACAGCTAGTAAGTTCCACAGTTAGATTTTGAATCCAGGTCTGACTCCACAGCTCATAGTAACCACTGTATTACATTACCTGTCATGTCGTGTGTGATAAAAGCTATAATATGCCATAAAGTTATCCTTTCAGATATTGGAGGTACTTTGTAATGATACTTGAAGTAAACAGTTTGAATTCTAAAAATCTAAACTATGTCATGTAATATTTCATGAAAAATAGGAAATAATACAGTAACTTTTACTGTATACCTGTACTTTGAAAGAAACTCTGTTTTGATACATCTAATGAAACAAAGATTCAAGGGGCTGGCCAGTTAGCTTGCTTGGTTAGAGAGTTGTACTGATAACACCAAGGTCAAAGGTTTGGATCCCCACACTAGCCAGCCACCAAGTAAAAGAAGAAACAAAGGTTCAGACACATGTCCTTGAAAATAGCATGATTGGAGGACATCGGGAGACAAAGTGGCATAGAAAATGCGTACAAAGACAAAAAAAAAGAAAGAAGAAGAATTTATCCTTACAGCGGGTTAATAAGGTAGAAGATACAAATTAGAAGAAAATGGAAAAGAAAAGGGGTTACAGGACATCGGTATGATGGAAGTAGCAGAGACAAGCAGAATTTAGTATACAATAGGCTGTGTTTATAGTCAGCCACTTGCTGCTTCAATCAAATGTGCACCTTAATGATAGTGGGGAAAGTAATGTACTTTATATTGGGTTTTAAAATGCATGAAGTGAATCTGCGTATTAATGTAAACTTGCTTAACTTTGGAGAAGGAGAACATTGATTAGCAAGACCGGCTTCATTGGGGGCTAGATAGAAGTATTTCAGGAGAAATAATCTGAGTCTTACACTTTATTCTTGTCTTTATCTTCCCTACCACTAATTATATTTGTCATTTTTCTTTTTAAAAATTTGGTTATCAGAGAATGGACTCATTTTCTAATATGGTAGTCCCCAAATGGGATGTACACAACTAGGGAATGTGCAAGACCATCCCCTGGGGTGAGAGGAAAAAGTATTTAAACTCATATTTAATGAAAACGAATAGAATTTTACTAGTGTTTAGTATGCAGATTCACAGTGGGGTTTTCTCTCACATGGTGAATACAAGGTGGTCACATAGAATTCATGGTAAGCAAGGCCTGAGGAGAAAGTGAGAGTTCTACTCTTCAAAGGAGAGAACAAAAGGACCTTGTAGCAAATTGCTACAGGTTGTATGTGCTCAGTTTGTGGAATTTATTAATATACTGGTTTTAACTAAACCAGCTTTCATAAAGTAGGTAAGTGGCTTAAAAAGATTTTTACAAAGAAACTGCTGATTGAAGCTAATACTGATAATGCAAGAACAAGTAGAAGATAGCAGAGCTATGAACTCTTGTCAGCAACACTGTCAGGTAAATATGATCTAATCAAGGGAAAAATCACCCCTCCCCCCAAAAACGACTAAAATATGAACTTGGACCCACTATCAGTACAATGAACCTTGCCCTAAATTGATCTGATATATTAACTAATGATAGCATGTAGTCATCATGATTAGCAAGACATTTTAAAATGTTTAATCTTTCTCTTACTGTTAGTTTCTATATTCGTGTATTTTTAATGTACAAAAATGATAATATTTACATATAACAAAATGTTAAGACATAGGTTGGGAATTTCTGTAATTTTTACTCACAATGATTCAGTTGTCATTAAAAAATAGCATTCAATGCCACTTTGGCAGCATATATACTAAAATTAGAACAATGGAGAACATTAGCATGGCCCCTGTGCAAGGAGGACACACAGATTTGTGAAGCATTTCATATTTTTAATTCAACTGTGTCACACAAATACATAACATGTTTCAGTGAAAAAATTTTTGATTGTATTTTTTTTTTAAAAAAGCATTCAGGGCAGTCCAGTTAGGTCAGTTGAGTAGAGTGTAGTGCTGATAACAGCAAGGTCCAAGGTT